TCATCCATTGCAAATGTATTAGCACATTTGCTTCTACACAATCTAGTACTTCCAATCTGTATTCACTGCTCAAGCAAATGTGATGTTTGTTCTTGTTTTTCAACCTTCATGTTTTCTTCCAATCTGTATGGATGTCAGATTTCTATAGACCAAATCCTTACTCTTATTAAGTTCATATTCTAAGTTTTGAATCGATAGTGATTTGATCAAACATGTTTTTATCAGTTTACACTTTCAAAATGACAAGATTTAGTAATTTACACGGGATGGCCGGCTGAGACCGCAATTCTAGGTAATTAATTTTCTAAATCTTGTCATCTTTCTGTTTGTCAAGTTCATAATAATCCTCAATCGAGGAAGACAAATCAAATGTACCTCGTTATAATCGTCTCTATGAGCAGTCAATATCTCATTATATCACATCACATACACATATCTTTTTTTTGTTTTTGGTCATAATAACTAAAAGCCAACAATTATCAAATAATAGGGCCCGTTTTGATCATTTTCCTCTATTCATTTTGAAAACAGTCTCTTATTCTTCTTCAATTTTGCTCCTCCAGATCTTCCTCGAACTTCATTATGGCCACTATGAACTTTGATTCAAGCGTCAAGATGAAATTCCAGGGGGAAGAAGATCAACCCCCAAAGCCAAAAACCAATCTGAGATTCATCATCTATTTCATTGTTATTGTTGCTGCACTATCCTCAGCTTTCACGATATGGAAATCACACCTCAGAAGTCCCTCAACTGCAATTCAAGTCGCCTGTTCGAGGACTTTTCATCATGATTTATGCTACAAATCTCTATTATCCCTCCACAAGAACACCTCCAGGACCCCATCAAACTCCATCACCCTATCAAAAGTCTTCACTCTTTCACTGCAAGCCGGCATAAACGAGCTCAGTGATCAAATTATTCCTGAATTAAAGAAAAAACTGATCACTGAAACTAATCGATGGAGACTAAGGAGTTTGAAAAAGTGCGACAACTGGCTGACTGATTCGCTGGGATTACTCAACAGTTCCTTGACAATAATGGGAGCTGATGAGCCCAATGAGAAAATCTTTAGTTACGCGAATTTTACCTTCTACATGGAGGTCAAGATCACTGATGCAAGAGATAATATAGCTGCATGCAGGAGTGAATCGATCCACATGAAGATGAAAGAGGCCTGGTTCTATGCGGATAATAGCTTGAGGATTTTATATTACAGAACTGAAATTCATCAAGAGTTGAATCCAACTATAGCAAGTCTTTGGAACTCCCTATTTATGAGTGGAGCATTTGGCATGGTATTGGCTTACATACCATTTGTCTTCTTATTTTTTCTGGTTATCTTGTTTTTAAGGACCTAAGTTTCGATTTAGAGTGTTAAACCACTTTTGTTTACGGCATATCTTTATTGCAATATGATGTTATCTTCTGTCTTTCCTATTTTTCCCCACCTTTCTTCGCCATGTGTAGGTTTATTTGTGATTTCTCATTCCTTTGGTCACTTGGAAAGATTTACAAATAGTGGACTAATAGAATAAAAGGGAGATCTGTTAGTACCATACTTGAGAATTTTACAACTTTTTAATTTATTTATCTACGTCAAAGTCTACTTTCACTGCTTTGAGCATGCATGAATATACTGTTATAGGAGATGAAATGGATCATTGGATGAACTATATTAATTAACCACCTCACTACTCTTACTAGACTTACTTTTATAGAATATTTTCTTTACAAATTATGGGCTATTTTCTATGTCCATTCCTCTTGAGCACCCATGAGATTACAAGGCTTTGCCACAAGTTCGAGTATTCAAGTTGTTTTTGTGTAAAACTTTCAAGAATGGTTTCAAAAGTCATACATAAGGTTTACTATAATATGTTTGTGTGTTTTGGTAGCACACAAACATTAAGTAGCAATTTCTTGAAAACTCGTACTTTCTAAGTAATTGTCTTTGAATTACACCATAATTTATAAACACACACGTTTAAATTAAATTATTAGCAATAAAAATAAATTGTCTAGAAATTTAATACCTAAAATTGATAGTTCTTTTTCTTTTGGCTAAGGGGGAACATTTACGATTTATATGCCTATAGTCAACATTGATGAATATGTGTACAATGTATAAAGGGAGAGCAACACTCTGTGGTCTAAAAACACAATAATGACACTTTTTAAAATTTCTAATCTACCCTTAATTATACCGTTAAATTGGTCCCAATATATTCTAGAAAAAAACTCCCTATAATCAGCAAAAAGTTATCCTTTTGAGATCAAATTACAACTTCTTCACGATAACTCCCTCACATCCTTACTTTTTTCTCCATCCCTTCAAGATCTTGGATAGATAAGTTTTCCAAAAAATTTTTTCAGTTGCATCATAAACATATTTTCCAATCTAACTTTTTATATTTCCAACCACCTTTTTATCTCACATACATTACATCATAAAAAGTACTACAGTGATTATTCCAAATAATTATTTGTAATAATACTCTATCCAAACAAAGCCTATGTGTACAACTTCTTCACACTAACTTCTTCACATCGCCACTTTTTCCTCCAAGATTTTTAAAATATAATAACTTCCTCTGAAATAATAACTAGATTTTTTGGATAAATACATATATGTCTAACATGACATGTGACTTAATATGAAAAAAAATAAGGGCCGCATTTTCTTGAAAAAAGCACACACCTATGGTGTGCCAAAAATATACCTAAAATTGAAATTTTTTTTAGAATTAATTTTTTATACATTGACAGTGTATATATTTTCACTATAAGATGCATGACATATAATCTAAATTTGAATCTGAGACCTAAATTTTGCATATATATTGTGTTTCTAATCGTAATAATGTATACACTGTCAATATATATATTTACTCAATTTTCCATGACTAATGGGGCCCTTGCCCCATATAACAAATATCGCTCCTCCTCTAGTGGTCAGTGCTGTCCACTACATCAGTCAAAAATACTTGCGCGTTGGTCTTTTAGATCGTGGTTAGAAATTTCCCAAAGTTTGACCTCTTCTTTCAGACTTTCATTGGTTCAGAGACTTACAATAGACGGGGCCAGAGTTGACTTGACTCCTTCCACAAAACTTGCACAGTATCCATTGTCTGTTTGGAAGATAATCAAGCAGCTGGAAATAAATACTATATCTTTTCCCCTTCATATTCCCACTCGACAAAGTATCATCTCCTTATTCTCAAACAAATCCCACAAGAAAGTGTGGAAATCAGATATGAACTCAGTCACCAACAAAGATAGGCACCTGATGGAAGATCAAGCTTCGAGACAGAAAAGGAAGATAAGGAGCTACGTCTTTTTCATCGTCTTATTCACAGTTATCATCGGATCAATCATCACAGTTTCCATAGCTCTCATACAAGAAAAAGAATATGAGTTACTCTCTGCTTCAACTCCAGATAGAGCAATTCATGCCATCTGCAATCTGACTCCAAAACCAATCTCATGTTTCGACTCCATATGGAGCCTCCGCACGAATTTCTCCACCGATTTAGGCGAGATCAAGACCACCCCATCAAGAATTTTCGCCCGCTCTCTCGGTGCTGCTGTCAATCAGCTAGAGGACTCGATTTCAGCTAATGAAAAGGCAATCTCTGAGGTCAAAGATTCAAGAACTTTGACAGTTTTGAAAGACTGCGATGTCTTGTTGAGGGATTCTTTAAGGCTTGTAAACGCGTCTGTGACTGCAATGGGAGTCGAATCCGATGACAAAATCTTTAAGGCCGCGAAATCTGTTGATGACATGAAAGAATGGATGTCAAGCTCTGCTGCAAATATAGACAAATGTTTGGCCGGATTGAGATATCATCTTCAAGGATCGATAAATGGGAAGTCTTATCACAGTCTACGGGAAATGAGGATCAAGGTTTCTTACGCAAGGGATGATGTAGCTAATAGCTTGGTGATGCTAGAAAAGATGGACACCATTCTTGGCATGTTTAATCAGACTATATTTCATGCGATTTTTGAGTTTGATATACTGGAATATCTTGGTTTTGGATTGGTCCTTTATGTTCCACAGTATTTGGTCTTAGTCGTTCTCATTTGCACGGTGCTACGATTGTAAATTAATGATATTGGAACTTGGAAGAAGAGTCCACACAGACCTGAGAAATGTGGACACTTTTTTGTGTAATTTTTGCTCTTGTTGTGTAGACCGCTTTGTAACCTATATGGTAAGTTAATAAGAGTCAATAAATCAACCTTCAAATTCATTTGTGATTTTTTTAAAGCACTTGTTAACGCATCTAATATTTACCTAACTTATCAGATATATATACATACTAATAATTATTATCTTTCTAACATTTATATATTTTTTCTATTTAATCTTACCTATTATCTCTTGCATTTATTTGTTTTGTCTAATTAATCTTATACTTTTAAAAATATAACACGTGAAGGGCACACGTTAGACAGACTAATCATTTGCAGAGAAAAATTTTGGAGAATTCTTGGTCGAATAGGAACTTTGCAATTTATGTCACGAAGGGAATTTTATTTTAAAAAAAAATTATGCCTTTGATTCAGATATTGAAAAAGTAATTTAACAAAAAAATTTCTTTTATTTTTCCTTTCCATTTACAAAAATCCAATATCATCACGAGTATAGTATACCATTCATAGTTGTTTCACAAAGAATGGCAACCTTTTTCTTTTATTTTTAAGAATGGCAATCTTATTTACCATATTAGTGATTTAGTATTGGAAAAAAGCATAGATTATTTTTTACTAGCAAGCATCTACAACTATTTTACTTCTACATAACCATAAACATCTCGGTCATCTTACTAATGTTTCGATCGACTTCGATCGACAACATATGAAAATTGACAGACCAAATGCAAATTCCGGAAAAGCTATTGGGCCAACAAAATAGTACTGAAGTAGTAGTTGTAAAATCCATTGGACCGGTCCATAACAATACCCTTGCACTCCTAGTTCTTTCCATATAGCCCTAATACCAAATACAAAAACCCTCTCATTCCGCTTCTGAGAAATTTGCATTTGCTAGGGTTTTGTATCCGTTCCCACTTCTCAGTCGGCAGCTCTCTCTCTCTCTCTCTCTCTCTCTCTCTCTCTCTCTCCCTCCCGCTCTCTCAGCCGCCGTCGTTGAAAATGGTAAAAAACCCTTTAATTTCAATCTTAACGCTAATCTTAATATTAATCTTTGTCTTCCTTCATGGTAAAAGCTTCTTAATTTCTCCTGTTCTTCCTTAGAATCGAGTTTGTAGTGTCCTTTTGTACTGTTTTTCTGGGATTGCATTGATTTTTTAAGCTATGAATGTTGTATAATGGTAATATTAATCATATTCCTGTTTTCCATTTGGTCTGGTCGTTTAAAATTTAGCAAAAATGTTGTGAAACTCTTATAGTTTTCGTTGTGGATGATAGTTGTGATTATAGAAGATATAATAAGGGTTGAATGGTGGTTTTGCAGTCGAAGAGAAGGCAAAGGGAGCCGAAGGAGGAGAATGTGACCTTGGGTCCTGCTACCAGGGACGGAGAGCAAGTTTTTGGGGTTGCCCACATTTTTGCCTCCTTTAACGACACCTTTATTGTACGTTTCGCTTTTTGTTGTATTTGAATATGTGCTGTGAATTTTTTGTTTTTTTATTTTCAGTTTTTCTTCTGATTGGAATCTTTAAATTTGAGATGGTTTTTGAGTTTCCTTGTTTTCTTTCCTGCCTGCAGCATGTGACTGATCTATCTGGACGAGAAACACTTGTTCGCATTACTGGTAAAGATTCTAGTCTTTTCAATCCTTTCTCTTGACTTTGTGGGAAAAGAAAAGTTTTTGGGTTGTTGTTTTGTCAACTTTCGCATTGTAGAGATTTAAGAAACTAAAATGGTAGTCAAAGAAGGTTAAAAAGTATTTTACAGACACCAATCAGTAAAATCTGAACCTCAAGTAATATAGGAGCCAATTTTTCGATATTTTGCCTGTTGGTTATACATGTATCATTTTTAACGTAACTTGATAACTAACTAACTTGGAGAAGGAATATATTGAATCATGGCTAGTTGGGATTGAAAAATAATGCTTCTTTTGAATCTGCAGCTTCTAACTTTATGGTGTTTGGATGATTTTTATAAAAGATTGCTGCTAAATGCAATGTTCACTTGTAATGTTTTCAAATAAAAAGCATGATTTTGCTATGAATATCGTTGGTGAAACCATACAAACAGATATTATTTGGGTTGTCATTTGCTCATCTTTCCTACTTGATTTCCTTTCTTTGGAGATAGACAAAATTGTTCTGTTCATGAATATTGTTCCTTTCCCTGATGTCCCTCAAGTGATTATAGAATATATTATGTCTAGTTGAATTACTAAAGGGCGTAGTTGATCTTATTGCTGTTACTGGTATCATATACATTTAGGATAGATCTCATAACTGGGAAAGTGAAATTTGGTCGTAGATTTTATCATATCCCTTCTCTTTTAGTTATTTTAGTCACCGTTCCTTGGTTGGATTGTGTTAGTTGTTGAATGTATTTCCATTCATATGACAAGGTGAAGTACTAAATTCTCTTGTTGTCTGGCCTACTTCTGCAGGAGGCATGAAAGTTAAGGCTGATAGAGATGAATCATCCCCATATGCAGCTATGCTTGCAGCGCAAGATATTGCTCAAAGATGCAAGGTCGTTATCACATCCTTAGCTTGATATTAATATTTGGTAAATAAAACTGAATTACTAGAAAGTGTTGTAAGATCTGATAGCCTAATTGCTTGTCTTTTGTTTCATATTAATGGACTTATTTGTTGCATTTTTTGATTACTGCCTATTATTTTTGCTGATACTGTCATCTCTTTCTAATGGTTTTTGCAGGAACTTGGCATCACTGCCCTTCATATTAAGCTCAGAGCCACTGGTGGTAACAAGACAAAGACTCCAGGCCCTGGTGCTCAGTCTGCTCTCCGTGCCCTTGCTCGTTCAGGAATGAAGATTGGTCGTATAGGTAAACATTTTCTTTGGGATCAGAAGCATCATTACTTGCTCCTTTTTTATTCCATATGATGCCCGGGGTTGTTTTAGGTTGGATGCAAGTGTTTTATGAGTAGGTAGAATCTCTGTGAGCCCTTGGCTGCATGCTTTACTATTGGAGGGGTGCGGTGATAAGAGTTATTTGCTTGAACCATACAACAGAGCATCTAATATAGTAACTACAGAAGATAGATCATTCGTCTTAGAAGACAATTTGTATTTAGGTGCAACGGAGCGGCTGAAAATGGTTTGCTTTGCATTAAACTGACTGGTGCTGGGAACTAGCTAAAGGTTTTAGTGTACCTGAAAACAAAATAAGTTACCATGGAGAGAGATAACCAGATTAAATTTTTGTTGTCTAATGTCTTTCAGTAAAGTGTCACAACAATATCTAGAAGTGAATAAAAATGTAATTGGTTTTATTTTGCAGTTTGACATTTTTTGTTTCAAAACTACGAGGCCTTTGCTTGAACTCGAACTCTAGGTGATCTCTGAGCTATACTGTTTTTGGAAAATTTGGTAGAAATTGAAATATCAAAGGACTTCACCAGAAGTTGAAATGCTTGTTGTGAATCAAAAAAATCTTTATGCTTCTGCTGCTTAATTAATATCTCGTCTCTTGATAAAAATTAGGGAGTCGAACAAGTACTATTTATTTCCTATTCAGAACTGAATTTTTTTGGCATATTCTGCCTGCTATTGGTTTGATTTTGGAGTTCATTAATTTATCCTAGATTTGGATCGGATACTCCTCATCACATAGCTAAATTATGATTGGACCCTTTTTTTCTTCTAACATCAGTTTTGGGTGCATATTAACTGACTTGAATATGTTATTTTCCCAGAGGATGTAACTCCAATTCCTACTGATAGCACTCGCCGGAAGGGTGGTAGACGTGGAAGAAGGCTGTAAGCTAGACTTCATCACATCAGCAGGGACCCTGATTTTTCGTTGGACATGGTAGTATTGTAGCTTGAGGTGACAGAATTTAGGTTGTATGGAAATGAGGGATACTCATTCCTGCCTTTTTGTTTCCGTGGTGAAATTGGCCTGGCTGGTTCTCCTTTGAGTCTGTTGGTTGCTTAGATCATGGATACTTCACCTGTTAAAATGTATTTGGTTTTTCAACTTATTCGGTTGGCAAAGATATCAAGCTTTGAGACCTTTGCGTCGTGCTTTAAAATTTAATTGATGTGTGGATTGGATTTATTAGATTATCCCTGCTATTGTCTGGCTTACTAAATCCCAAGAACAGGTAAAACGAAATAGGACGCTCAAGTGTGTGCATTGTTCTGTTTTGGAAATTCAGTAAGGTGGACTAAACTGATAATTTCTGGCGTTTTCCCTCCATTCTTCGTTCCTCCATTGTTGCAGGTGATCTTGTTTCTTTCCTTTCCTCTCCAGTTAATCTTCCAAACGAGATGCGGGTTTTCATTACCCCCGCTTCTCTCTCTACACCCGGACAAGGCCTAAACCATCGATTAATTAGTTATCAATCTGTGCTGCTGCATAAGCTCCTTTTTCCTTTGGCGGAGATTTCCAGAAATAGGAATTGCAGAGAATTTTTCGTTACAACTCTACTGGCGTTATTGGTGCAGCAGCTGATGGGCAATTTTCTAGCTGTTTTAGATCAGGTGAAGTCCCAACTGTCTCATAAATAAGATGCTAATCAATCAAATACCTATATAACATATATTGGCACAAGCTCTGGGATGTGCAAATATTCAAGGACCATTTCGACAAGAAACTTCTATCGTTGTTCATCCATCCTTGCTAGGAAAGTTTCAATCGTTGACTTGAAGGTGTAGACTGTGTAGTAGGTATACGACCACACTTGGTAACTATAAACTAATTCCCCAGTCAGTCTTCTTCTATCTTTACATCTTCAAGTTTCCTACTTTCCGTTTTCATAAGAATCGAAACTCCTTTTGATCTACCCTCTTCAATCAACCATCGTACAAATCTTGCTCCCATTTCTTGAATTTCCAAGCCTTGGAGGCAGAGATGGAGTCAGCCAACAACAGACTATTAGAAGATCAATATTCAAGAAAAAAAAGGAAGATAACCATCATCATTTCTTTGATCATCTCATTCACAATCATTATCAGTTCAATCATCTCAGTCTTAACCATCCTCAAGCACAAAGTAGAGTCTCAATCACTCTCTAATGCACCTCCAAGCAAAGCAATCAGAGCCACCTGTTCTCTAACTCCATCCCGCCGCTTATGTTTCAAGCAGATATGGAAGCTCCAGCAAAGCCAGGCTTCATCGAAGATTAATCCTTCACAGATATTTGCTCTTTCACTCGGTGCTTCTTTTGATGAGCTCACCATCCTTAATTCCCAAAGGCAGAGGGTAATCTCAAAAGTCAATGCTTCTTCTGCAAGTGTCTTTCCATCTCTACAAGAATGTGAAAGTTTGATCAGCGATTCCCTAAGACTTGTTAACATGTCTGTGACAAAAATTGGGATTGTCCCCGATGGCAACATCTTTAAGGAAACAAAAACCGTTGAGGATTTGATGGAATGGACCTCTGCTGCCAAGGAGAGTCTGGAGAGGTGCAGGGATGAATTGGAGAATGATAATGAAGGATTGGTATCTGGAAAATTTTATTTGGTGAGAATGAAGATGCAGATGCTTGTGACAAGGAAATATCTGGAGAATAGCTTAGTGATTTTGGCCAAGATGGATACTATTCTGGACATGTTTTATCATCCTCTCCAGAGTATTCTGTCAAATTTTATGCTCAGTGCAAGTGGATTTGATTTTGGTATGGTCTTTTTTGCCTCACAGTATTTGTTGTTAGTTTTTCTGTTTTGCCTGTTGGTGCGATTATACTAAATTGCAACAGTTATATGACTTCAGAAATGAGGATGGATGTTCTCTTCTTCTTGTCAAATTTAAATTTCTTTTCCTGACTCTTTAATATTTAAGATCAATCATGTATATACTAGTGATTTACCAAGTCCTAAACCATACACGAGTGAGTATTAAAAAAAAAAAATTTTTGGGGGGTAAATATGCAAAAAAGATTGAATCAAACTCCAGATATTAGATGCATGATGATCTCTTTTAGAGTTTTAGTATTGTTGACTGTTAACTCAGTGTCACAAAAATTCTAAAAGATGTATATGTTCTGTCAAGTTTTTGAAGTCATTTATTTGAATTAAAATTTTCCTTATGTACATTTGTCAATATATTGTTGTGTTGCATCTTTCTTTTATCTTTTATTCATGGTCCAGGAGTGATAGACTACGTTTCCAAGTTCTTTTCCCATCTCCCAAACCCCTCAGCTTCATACAACTTTTCAAAAGCAAACCTTGAGAATTCAGACTACATTATTTTTACCTAATAAATTCCTTAAATTTCACCTGCAATAAATATTCCTTTCTATTTATGGCTGAAAATTTTTCCCTTGTCTTTTCTCATTTCATGTTGTCCATTTTTGAACATTCATGAAAGCAAAATGTTGCTAATTTAAATGTTCTGTAAATTCTACCAGTGATCGGTCCATTTTCAATCATCATAAAACGTGAGGCTAGAATCAATTGCAGTTTAATATTAATTCTGTCAATTACAGTTTAATTTCCAATTGATGGTGTTAAAAAAGGGGCACAATGCTCGTATAGTCTAATTTCTTTGGGCATGTCCTAATTTGCAAGAGTTTTATTTTATTTTTGATAACAAAACGTATTTCATTAATGGATTGTTGGAAATCATCCAGCACGATTGATATATATATCGTTGCCCTAATGGCAGATAAAATGTGTACTAGAATTGTAGATCTGCAAGTTAACGGATACAAAAGACCTGAAAAATTAAAAACAGATATAAAACGTACCATCAATTTTAAAATTATCTTCTCATAGAATAAATCGCTGCAGCCCACTTTGTGCATGTTGCAATCGTCAAATCTGCTAATCAACAGTTGTAAGATTCAATAAAGATGATGAGATCTGCCGACATAAATTCAAATCTAAAATAAATTCATATATGACAACAAAATTTGAAGTAAATTCAAATTTAAACAATAAAATAAGGAAAAATAACACAAAATCTCACTTAAAACTCTTAGGAGAACAAAAATTCTCACTAGGAATCTTAGGAGAAACAAAGATCTCAAAAATTCAGAGGAGACTTTATTAGAAAAATAACAAAAACGAAACCTATGGACTTGAAAAGGAAGGAATTCAGAGAAAAGGAGCAGCAGAGAGAAGTTGGAGAAGAGGAGCCGTGGCTGTCAGCCTGTCACTACCCCTTTTAGCCCTCTTGGTAGCTTTGCAAGAGTTTTATTAGTTCCCTCCTATTCATGTCAAATTGAGTGCACATCAAAATTTGCTTGACAAATTTGACTGCAGTCTACCAACGGAGCGAACATTGGATTTTGTTAGTTGGTTAATTTTGAGAGAATTTGACCAAAAAGGATCGAATTGGACAAGTGGAATACTTGTCCGAAAGAGACACAAGATATTTTGTAGCTTGTCAAACAAATCACAAAACCTAATACCACAAAGGACTCAAAAGTAAAATCTAAAATGGAAGAGGGTGAAACAAAACAAGTACTCAACTAAGGGACCAATGGAGTAAATCTGAAATAGACGAGACAAAAGTAGAAATATAGCTAAGTTCAAGGTGCTGAAAGTGCAATTATCCAAACACTTGATATTATCCCTCTCTTGCCCAATAATTCATTCGGGTGTACTTGTGCAGACGTGTCTTACAGAGCAATAATGTACTCGGGCAGGTAGAATAATAGTTTGTTGTAAATATGTCTATTTAATTTACATCATCAAGATTTGGTGTACAAATGCATTCAAAAATGGTACTTTTCGCAAATTACACGAACAAATAAACCTACATATATTTAAGTGTACAATCAAATCATAGAACAAGTATATTAATCAAGGAAATGGACACAAAGAGTTGTCGGTGTAACTATTTGTAAACAGTATAATATTTTTTTGAACATATTGTAATTCATTACAAACTATTTATACAATTTCTTAATAATCATATTAGTATAATCAACCACTTTTCACGTAAAATTATACATATCAATTATGCCATACTTATATGTCATGATCTGGACCGTATAATTTCAAAATTTACAGTTGAGTCTGTTTGGATTGTAAATTATTTGTCAAAATTTATTTGCTTACATATCATCATTACAATTTTCAACACACCTTTTTATTTTCTCAATTATCTTTTTATCTCACATACATCACATCACAAAAAGTGCTACGGTAAAAATATCTTTAATAATTTACAATTCAAAAACAGACCTACTTGATAGCTAAATTCGGACCGTAGATTGCTTGGAACGGTTGGTAGGACGTCCATTCTAATCGTATAACAAATATACAATAACCGTATACGGTGACACACACCACAATTGCATCCCTACCTCACTGGAATACGACTAACTGTCTTATCCAAACCAGGGAAACAAAAAAGGGCAAAAAAAGAGTAAATAAATGCCCAATATAGCAAAAAAAAATGCCCAATATAGCAGGAACAGTTGGCTGACAAATGAGCAAAAAAATACTCTACTATATTATTGGTCAATGTTTGCTTGGCACTAATTAAACCGCAACTAATAAAACTTGCAATCTCAGACCGAGAAAACCAGACAAAAACTACCAACTCCCAAAGTCCCAATTCCCAAGAACCAAACGCACCAGGCAGCTATGGACAACTTCCAAGCCACCAGCAAACTCAGCCTCATCGAAAACCAACGAAAACAACAACAGCAGCAGCAGCAGCCTTCTTCATTAGCCTCAAACCTTAAACGAAACAAAATCCTAATCAAAACCTTCTTCTCACTAATCATCCTGTTGGCTTTCATTACAGGAGCAATGATCATAAATCTCATCCATGGGCACAACAAATCCCAAGAAAAGCTCAAACTCGACCAACAGACCGAGTCACTCCGAGGTTTCTGCTCCGTGACTCGGTTCCCGGATCACTGCCTCAACTCAGTCATTCTCCTACCTGACAACAGCCCAGATGATATTTTCATCGCATCTCTCGATTTAGCTATAGAACGAGTCGTCAACTTCACTGTTCTCACGAGGGCTCTGATCTTGCAGTCAAGTTCTGATGCTGCGACTGAGTCAAGAAACGAGTCAGCCCTGTTCAGGTGCTCGAGTTTGATCGATGACTCTTTGAACCAGCTCAACAGATCTTTGACTGCCTCCGGCGAGTCGTCGTTGTTCGGTCTCCGAGTTGACTCGGGGGAGATGGAAGAACTGGTCAGGGAGAAGATTAAGGAGGTGAGTTCCCGGGTGAATCAGGCAGCGAATGGTCTACGGAGATGTTTCGCGATTCTTGGGGAAGACAATTCGACGGCTGTGATTGAATTGAGAAGTGGGGTGTATGATGGTATAATGCACGTGAGTAACATCTTTGATTTTCTTGAATCCAGAGATCGGATAGTTCATGACATTAAAGCTCGACGAGAAAGCCATGAGTACTATATCCCGCCTAGGGATGATTTGGAATATATAATTATATTTTCCCCTCAATATTTTGTTTTGATATTTTTGTTATGGCTACTTTTACGTATTTATTGATGTAAATTGATGAACTATATATTGTTCAATCATACGTTTTTGTTTCCCTTCTTAATAGTGAATTTTCTTTGTTTTGAGATGTGAGATTCATGATTCCTTGCCTTCTTGGGTTCAATTGAAAATGGCTTGCTTCAATCTTGAATTTATGTTAATGTAGTAAATCTCGATTAAGGTAATTAAATATGCTGTTAGATAGTATAATAGTTGTTTGAATGACATGTTTTTCTTGAATGTGAACTGGCGTCACAATCAACAACATAGGTGTTGTCATTATTGTGTACTAATTCTCTGCCAAATTGCTATTTTGTTTAATAGATGATGTTTTTGTGTTAGAAAAATATGGTAACGGAAGTCCAGTGGAGTGGAGGGCTCCTCGAGTTCTTTCCGTTATTAGGTTCAAAGTTCGAATGATAACTAAAGTTTTTCGTTATTAGGCGAATGATAACTAAAGTTCAATGGAGGGCTTCTGTACACCTTTTTGTTATCAAGTTTAGAGTTCGAATTCTTTTTATTATCGGGTTTAGAGTTCAAATTATGAGTCCGACAAAAATGTGTTTTAAAAATTTAGCAAAACTTTGAAAGAATTAATCATAAATGACAGATTATTGGTCCATTGCGTTGATTTTCTAGTTTTTTTTTTTTTTGGATGTCCCGCAGGGAGTGGACCCCGCAGACTATTCCCCATCCTCCACAACTTGTTGGCAGTAAGGTTCGAACCAGGGACCTAAGGCTCCATTTTCAGCAATCTCAACCGCCAGACCAAACCCCGGAGGGTCGCGTTGATTTTCTAGTTGATATAATAGAATAAGATAAAAAGTAACATGCTGCGACTTGAAGGACACGATCCATTGTGAACTTTTTTTTTATTGTAAGAGGTTTTTAAATTATGGAAGTTGTTCAAATGCCAACCAATTCCTCATTTCCTAAGTATAAAATGTCCTTGGTTGTTGATCAAATCATATACATTGCCCATTGGCAAACTCACTTCTTTATTGTTGTCAATGTTCATATTTCATCTTTCAGAACTTTTATAACATCCAAGTTCCCAAGATATAACACTTCCTTCGTCCCACTTTGATAGTCCTGTTTTCCTTTTTTGTCTGTCCCAAATTGAAGTCCACTTTCCAATTAAAGAATTTAGTTGTATTTTAATTTTTCTAAAATACCCTTATTCAATGTAAGTTGTTGTTACTATAAACCTACCCCATTTAATGAGAGTTTATTCTTTTTTTACCATCAATTTAAGTTCCCATAAAGTTGTACTCTAATTAATGTGAGGGTATTTTAGGAAAATAGTTACCTAAATTGATTGTTCCAACAAAATTAACTACTTTTTTTTAAACTGTGTGAAAAAAGAATCACGACTATCAAAGTGAGATGGAGGAGTATTTCTTGCAATTTTTGATTCTGATTCCTAACACCAAATGATCCTGTAAGAACATTAATCATCAAGACAGAAAATTTCTAGTCTTGATGGCCTCTTTCATCATCATGACACAAGCGCAACAAATAGCAATTTTGCAACAATCAAGCAAGAAACCAAATCAAAATCATACTTCAAAAAATCCATCATCTTTAATTATTACTGAAAGAACTGCATTATCATGACTCCCATCATATTAACTGGGGCCACTATTTTCTCATGGCCGTGATATACACAATTCACGAGCTGTTGAGGTTGTAAACATGAGGATTATGGCTTGTGATTACCGCATTTCTATCATGAGCCTTTGTTCAACGATGTATCCGACAGAGCCTATATGTCAAATGTATTGAACTTAAGAAACACTTAAAGGCAAATTTTAACAAAAAAAGGAAAAGGTGAAAGTGCTAGTAGTTTAAGCAAAGAAGAAAGAATTATGATAACTGATTAGATATTAAGAAATTGAAAGTTGAAGAGGATCCATCTGTTGTGATTTGTGAAATGGTGATTACATCTAAATGTGCAAATTGGTTTAAAGAGCATAATCTTTAAAAATTCCTCCCTCCGGGTATGTTTAAAACTTGGGATAATTTCAGAAACCTCCCCTGAGGTTTTTGATAATTTCACATGGCAAATGCTAAAATTTTAAAAATTATACCTACCTCCCTTGCCTATTGAAAATGACAAAACGAGTCTTAATATTTTAATAAAACTCCCTTGTTGCTATGTTTACACAAAGGATGGATTTTCTATTTTTTTTTATTCATTTCTCTTATATTTCATTAGAAATATAGAATAATTATTAATATAGTTCCTAACTTCTATCCTAATCAAATATCAAACTACTAATATTTTTTTGATAATTTTTAATATCATCCATCTTTTGTAGCTCTTTTTTTAATATCAAAATCAAGAATAAATTAACAATAACTAAAAACAAATGATCCAAAATCACTACCAAACTATAGTAGTTCCATCATTGAACTGGTCCAATAAAAAAAAATAGTCCATAAACTTAAAAAAACAGATAACTTTTTCTTCTCTATCTTAAAAAAAAAGTAGCCTATTACAACAAAAAATTTATTATTATAATTGTTTTTCTTGATTTAATGTTTGCATGAAAAACTTGACACTGATTTCCTTTACTCCATTGTGCCAAATTATTTTGGTGACCAAAGTGTCTAATCAAGGTGATAAGTGTAATTTCAAGACCTTGAGTGAAGAAGTGAAATAGTCAGATTAGGGGAGGTTTCTCAAATTATCCCTTAACATTTAGTGCCATGTTCACTGGCATTGCTGAATCCCAAGAGTGAATTTGCTGAATCCCAAAACGTTGACTTTGATGCTATAACGCTATTGGCTTTACCTCTTCACACAGAAAGCCACACAATTTGCATATCCTTGTTACTACAGGGATCTTCATCTGCTTTTTCACTCAAGAAATCGAAATAATCACAAACTACTGTACTAATCAGCGATCTCAAACAAAAACCAAAACATTTCGAGCCACATCGAGGCATTCAACGATTCCTTCATGGTCTCCAGCTGCAGAGTAAGCCTGTTGCAGGCTCAATCACAGCAATTATCATCAAGAATTCTGCAACGTAGATCCCACAAAAACCTGACCATGATCATCCATAATCTTATCCCACCTGAAAAATGGTAAAAACAACCACACCACCGAGTCACTCAGGCCAAACTCAGCAAACTTGAAGACCTTTTATGTTCCGTGACTCACGAACCTGAGTTATGCTTCACCTCTATATCCCCCTCCATCGAGGAAACCGAGACCGACCCGGATGATATTTTCGCCGTCTCTATCAAGGTAGCCATTGCTAATATCACCGGCCTGGCTCCGTTGATGAAAGAAGTTTTACTGAGTTCGAACATGATTGTAGCTGAGTCAGCTCTGGAATTCTGCACCTGGGCATTCTCCGACTCACTGAGTCACCTCGATAGGACTTTAAAGGCAGTACTACTGGAGAAAGAAGGACACTACCGGGTCTTTTCTTCCGTTGACTTTGACACGGTGGCGTGGACTTCTGATCGAGGGGAAGACATGATAACGTGGCTGATCAGCGCGTTCAGTGCTTTAGACAGCTGTGGTGATATTTTGGATGAGGTTGGATCAATGGCTGTAAATGACTTGAGCTTGAAGGTGTACAGAGCTAAGGTGCAGGTCAACTACTGCAGCAGCTTTCTCTCGTTTAAGGATCAGATATTGCCATTTTTAGTCTTTCATCACCTGAGAAAACTGGCAAAATGTTGAGAGTATATTATGAGTATTTGCTCACTTTAATTACGTGTATGGACAGGAAATTATTTGAAATTTTTTTTGAAATAATACTGCGACGCTTTTTGTGATATAATGTATATGAAATGATTAAAATAATGATCTGAAAGATATAAAAATAGGTGACTGAAAAACTTGTTTATGATTCAATCAAATTTTTATTTTTTTGACAAATGTTTGGCAATTCAAACCAAAATTTTTTTTTTAATTTTCCACGAGCAATGAATCGGTACTACAGGTATATAAATATATACCTGTAGTACCGAATATACCTGTAGTACCGATTCATTGCTCGTGGAAAATATATACATAAATATATACCTGTAGTACCGATTCATTGCTCGTGGAAAATATATACCTGTAGTACCGATTCATTGCTCGTGGAAAATTTAAAAAAAATTTTTGGTTTGAATTGCCAAACATTTGTCAAAAAAATAAAAATTTGATTGAATCATAAACAAGTTTTTCAGTCACCTATTTTTATATCTTTCAGATAATATATACTTATATTCCCCCCACCTCTATATTTTTTGTCATGTTTGGTTTTGCGTAAATATTGATGTAAATTAATGGACTATAACTTAATGACACCTTTTCTTAATAGTAAATTTTCTGCCTTTTGAGATATGAGATTCATGTTTTCTTGCTTTCTCTGGCTCAAGGGCTTTTAATCAAGAGCCCTTGATTCAGTGATGGCAAATTCTAAGGTCAAACGTATTGAACTTGGAAAACAATTCAAAGAAACTAAGTAATATAATATGGAAGAAAAGAAAAACTCTAGTACCTCAAGTAAATGACAAAGACATAGAAGAACTAGTTAAATATTAACAAATTGTAAGTGAAGAGGATCTCTCTAATTGTCAAATAAAATAAATAATGATTTCTTACAGCTGGTTTGGAAGTTTAGGATAGAAAAGCAAGGAAGAGAAAAGCATAAGTTATGAAAAAAAAAAAGAAGAGAAAAAAAGAAAATTTAGTATTGATGTTGTTTAATTTGAGGGTTTAGAAAAAAAATGAAATAATATTAGATACATATGTTAATAAAACTTTATTTAATAAACATTTAAAGATAAAAATGGTATCTTAAAAAAATTTATAATACTTGCTTCAATTTTCTTTCATTTTTTGCCCATATTTGGACCAAAAAATTTTTTTAACTATCAGAGCCATCCATCCAAATCTTCTTATTTTTTTTTCTTTGCTCAACAACTCGAAAACATCACAAAAGAGTTATCTTCTCTCATTTTATTTTATTTTCTTTTCCCGTCAAATCTAAGCTCCCAAAATAAACGTTAGACTCATTACATATAGTGGTTAAGTTTAAGACTAAATGTACATAATGGTTTGCAGATAATGAATAACCTTCAAATTCTAGTGTCATAATTAGTGATTGTTGAAACCAACAACGTTTGACTCTTGAGCTCGGTTGCTTTTCTTTGGCTTTATCTCTTCACACACACACACACACACAAGGAACAAGCAGTCCAACAGGATCATCTTCATCTGTTCATGCCATCATTCTACTCAGAAATGAAAAACACAAACTGATCAGTCATCTCACCAAAATCAGACCATTTCAGGCCATCATGGACTCGGTCAACGATTCCCTCATGGCCTCCAGCAAAGTGAGTCTATTGCAACACCATCCACAGCAGCCATCTCGGTCAAGAAATCTACTAAAATCCTACAAAACCCTCATCATAATCATCTCTTTCTGTTTTATCATCCTTGCTTCTCTGATCGTAAGCACCATAATCTTATTCCACATGCATAACCGCAACAACTATAACCTCACCTCCGAGCCCACCGAGTCACTCTTGTCGAACTCAGCAAACTTGAAGACCTTTTGTTCCGTCGTGTCTCAGGACCCCGACTTATGCTTTACCTCTATATCCTCCTCTATCAAGGGAACCGAGACCGAACCAGATGACATTTTTGCCGTCTCTATCAAGGTAGCCATTGATAATGTCACCAGCCTGGCTCCATTGATGAGAGAAGTTTTGCTGAGTTCGAGCATGACTGGAGCCGAGTCGGCTTTGAAACATTGCACCGAGTCAGTGGCCGACTCACTGAATCAACTCAATAGGTCTTTGACTGCAGTGCTGCTGGGGGCAAAAGAAAACTGCCGGGTATTTTCGTCTGAGGCCCCGGTTGACTTGGGCTTCGAGCCGTTGACTTCTGCTCAGAGGGGAAACGTGATGACGTGGCTGCTTAGAGCACTGGGTGGTTTGGACACCTGTTTTGATGTTTTGGCTGGTGTTGGATCAGTGGCTGTAGATGAATTGAGCGTGAAGGTGTACAAAGCTAGGGTGC